AGTTATTCTTGTATCTGTCAACAATATAGGATCTGATAGACTAGGAGTGGGCCACCTCGGCACTCAAGCTGTGATGAGGCTGAAAATCTCACCATGCCTCTGGCAGTCATGCCCGTGGCTGTGAAGAGTCTTGCAATGCCTCATGGGACTTTTAGCACCACATGCTGGAGTGCTGAGGTTGCCTACCCCTTGGGTAGACTCCAGGAGAGACAAAGTCTGGCAGGAAGTCTTACAGGTACTGCAAAGTACTGTAGCTACCTTATGCACTTTTTAAGCCAGTTCATGCTCACTCTAAACTGATCACATGCACATATTAAAATCAATCAATCAATCAATCATTGGCTATAGCCAACGCAAGTTACCCTGTATGTTCAGTTGAGTGGTCCTGTATAGCACCGGTTATGATGGTGCACGTACTTGTGTGCTTGGCGTGCTTAGCATTCAGCTTGGTCTAGATTGTACCTATAGGTCATAAATGGGGAATGTGTACAGCCGGCAGACAACATGAGCTATAATACTAAAACTTCAAGGCACCAAAACACCGTTCACAGGAAGCTGTCAGTAGGAAGAATGTTTAGAAGGAAAAGAAACAGACGCCACTATAAATACGACTCCTACTTGGGACTCGACTTGTTCCCACACTTCGGGGCTGGACCACAGGAAACAAAAACTGCAAGAACTTCATACTCAGTGCGATTATAGTGACATGACCTGATCCTTTAGGGCCCATTCACACCACATCCAGATCATCTCCAGACCAGACCAGATTGTTTCCGTACTCAAAATGCATCCGAATGTATCCCTATGCTATTTCTGGCCTCTGTTCACACCAGCGCAGTCCAGACCAGACCAGAAAAAATACGGCATGTCTCATTTTGTCTGGTCTGTAATGTACAGGAACTGTGGGCAAGTTCACACCATTTTCCGGACCCGATCTGGTCCGGAAAATGGTGTGAACCTGCCCTTAAAGGAGAACTATGAGGTGAGTGCTTTTCACTCACCTCATAGTTCTAGCCGACCTGTGACAATGAGACTGTCACAGGTCGGCTCAGTAGATCGGGAGGTGAGCGAACACATACCGGGTTCGCTCGCCTCTCGATCCTGTCACGGCTCTCTGCCGTGACAGGGGGAGGGGCTGGATTCCCCTCTCCCCACTCTGATCTGCCAGCACTGACTGGCAGAACGGACGGGGGAGGGGGCGGGTACAGCTGGCTCTGCCTCTAGATAGGCAGAGCCAGCTGTCACTCACGCAGCTGGGCGGATCCCGTCATCTACGTCGGGATCCGCTCCGGCTGCGGCGGCTCAGTATACCGCGAGCTGTAGCTCTCTATATACTGAGCCTAGGGTGACAGGAGGACGCTAGTTTGTGTCCTCCCGTTACCCTAAGGAGAACTATGGGGAAAAACACTGACCCCATAGTTCTCCTATAAGGCTGTCGCTTTGCCTATAAGGGAGCGAAAAATATATCTTACCGCATGCACATCTAGAGAGTCAACGGTGAGGTCATACGGGTGCATGTGAAGGCTCTCAAACAGCTCCTTCAGGGTCATCTTCTGCCCATTCTTCTCGGCCACCACTCGGTCGGATTCTGTGCGATACGTGTGTTTGATGAAGCGCAGGAGATGCTTCTGGTTCATACAGGCCGCAGCGTGAATATGAGTGTCCACCTGTGTAAGATTAAACCAGGGAGCCATTAAAAGGTGCCTTATATTGGAGAACAATGTGCCAATCCAGCAATTTATGGTTAGACTGAGGAACGTTTGTATGTTTGTAGGCTCTTCCATCAACCTGGCTAATATTCCAGGATTGGTTGGACTCCATCCTGGTCAACCCAAGTTGGCCTAGTCACTATTGTTTCCTTAGAGGCAGGTCTGTAACATGCTTCTGAAGCCTCCATCATGGAACAAACACGCAAGCTTGCCCCAGATCCGTAGCTAGCTCCTTTTGCGCCTGAGGCAAGAACAGAAAATTGTGCCCCCTGATAGTAATGTGTGCATGAGTGTGTGTTTTTAGTTTTATTGTTGGGGGGCTTCGGGGAAATATCGGGGATCTAAACAGACCCCTTAGATTTCTCTTTTGAAATATAAAAAGAGATTCAGGACACGGAGTCCTCTGCCCATACAGGCTGGGGAGAGCAGCGAGGATCGGAGGAGAAGCTGGAGCCCGTGCCGCCCCTCTTCTCCCCTTCAAGCCGCGGCTGTGTTGGCTGCCTGGCGCCACTGTTGCCTATGGTGCCCTGTGATCGTCATGGCAACAGGGGCGAGGGGGCACAAACAGGCCGGTCCTTGCTGCGCCCCCCTCTCAGATGCGCCTGAGGCGAGTGCCTCACTCGCCCCATGGTAGCTACAGCCCTGGCTTGCCCATTTCAAATGTGAACCTTTACATGAAGATCTTTCTCAGGCTAGGTCAACCATTCATTGCAGCTCAACTACCCTCCCAAGGGCTGAGGAACAACAGACATAGATGGAACTGTCTACATAACCCGATAATGGTTCTCCATCACAACACTAATGGGCATATCTACAGCAGCAAGAACTTTATTCTCCTGCCTGCATGAACTTCTTCATACAATAGGGCCTTATTTACAAGGTTTAAAGGACTGATTTGTTTAAAGAGATCCCTTAAGAGACATTGGTACGGTCACGATATGGCATTTAGTTAAAGCTGAACTCTGGCCTTCCCTTCAGTCTTATATCTGACCTCCCCTTCAGTCTTGCACAGTTGTACCGGCTCCTCTCCTGGACTGAAATGGCTTCCTCTGATGTCACTGCACACTGGGAGCTTCTCACAATGTTCATTAGAAGCTCCAAGCAAGTCAGATAGAGGCCCGCCTCATTTCCTGGATGGAGAACATCCAGAATCATCTAGCTCATTCCTTGACAATTCAACTGTCCCCGGCCCGCCCCTTTTTTTATTGTATTGCAGTCCTTTCAATCATGGAGGCTCAGCATCACATGTGGGTTATGCCTAGGGTGGTCTGCATGGAAATGCATCCAGCATAGGAATGCCCTCTCCCTATACTGACAACCACCCTTAAAGCCATTTGGGTATTTGCATAATTCCTCCCAAGAGCCATCCCACTGCTGGCATCAGGGCGGAGGGCTCTTGTGAGGTGTACTGAGGCAGGGTGCTGTGATGTTTTCAGAAAGCTATGTACTGCATCCTGCTGGCCCCTTCTACCAGCCAAGATCAGCCTGCATGGCACAGATAAGCACAGGAACCCTGTGTTGACGTTACTGGGTTTAAGATAAGCTATATAATGAAAGTGGAATGGCTATATTTAAAATATCATTGTTAGTGAGGAGGAAAATAAGATTAAACCTCAGCCCCTGCCCAGTTTACAAACCTTCCTGACGTTATAAAAGTCGCGGTGGGGCACACTTTTCAGCTCCTTCAGTTCTGACATCTCGTTCAGCATCTCATGGAGGTTAAACTTGGAGCCCAGAAAGTTCAATCTGCGGTGGCAGTACGTCTTCCTGTAGGACAATTTTGTAAAACGTCAGAGGAGATAAAACAGCATTTTTCCATAGTGTGGACATGGAGGATTGACCCAATTATCAGAACAAAAAGTTATTACAACAATCGGAGCTGGGTTATTACAGGTTTGCAGCGTCACAAATAACAAATGTGAAGAAGCAACCTGGGCGGCGACACCTGAGGTCAGGTGGGCAGCACACTCGACACAGACTTGCTGCATGGCAGAGCCCTCCCCCAAAGAGCAGAGTCAGGAAGACACACCGTTTGATCCCAGCCCTCGTCTTACAACAGCAATGGTGATTGAGAGTATTTAGTCTTTCCTCTGCTGAGACAGCCCTAGTTTCAAGTATGGTTGGTGAGACAAATTATATGTAATGCTCTCTAGTATAGTTTTGAAACACTGACTGACTGCAGCCGAAATTAATCAAAGAGAACATAAAAGGAACCCTTGATCTTGCCTGAAGCAGAAGGATTTTCCATACAAGATGATCAGGAACTCCTCCTATGGAAAAAAAATGCAGTGTGGCAGTGTAAGCCAATGCCACGGTGTAGTTTGTCAACTATGGCACCTAGGACTCTCAGCCAGAGGGGCTGAGAGGGTCCAGAGAGTAAACCATTTTATAAGGAAGAACCCGGCCTTTCGGATTCTTCCAGGTTTTCCTGATTGTAGCTGGGGTGTGGAGCTCTGGAGATTTCGTAGAGCTCTGGGTGGGATGAGATCTCCAGTCCTTGGGCCAGGTGTTGCCAATGACCAGCTTGGGCTGATCAGGTGGCTGAGAGCAGCCTCATTAGGAAGCCAGCCCAGTGCTCAGGGAAAGTTGTGTGTGTGCAGGAGGCACACTGCCACAGCAGACTCAGCTGCGTGCTGGACACACGTGGAACCGCCAGGGGAGGCTGGGAAGGTCGGTGACTCTAGGACCTGTTGGACACACTGCCGAGAGACCAGAGTGAGGGCTCACAAGGGGTGAGCAGTGCGAGTTTCACACAGAGGTGTGATGAGCAGCTTGGAGCTGTGGATGAAGTAAGATAAATGACCAAGGGGTTGAGATAATGAAACCTTCGTTCTGGCCTTAAAGGAGGGCTGTAGCTACCATGGCGCGAGTGAGGCACTCGCCTCAGGCGCAGCTGAGAGGGGGCACAGCCAGGGCCTGTCTGCGCCCCCTCACCCCCGTTGCCATGGCGAGCACAGGGTGCCATTGGCAACAGGGGCGTCAGGCGGCCAACACAGCCGCGGCTCAGCAGGGAGAAGAGGAGCGGCACAGGCTCCAGAGAAATTAATGTAAACTAAAACTGTTTTTATTAGTTTCGTCAAACGAAACAAATTTTTATGCTATTTTGGATTTGGCCACCAGCACATGTGCGCCTCCGTTCTGGAGGGGGGCGCGTGATGTCACATACCGCACACGTCAGTTGGGGGCACAATTTTACCATTCTTGCCTCGGGCGCAAAAGGAGCGAGCTACGGCACTGCCTTAAAGGATGGGTAGAAACCTGGAAAAGTCTTACTGTTGGACCTATTTAAAATCCTCAAGGGCCACTGCCAAGATGATGGGGTTTCACTGATGGATAAGGTAGGATAAATGACCGAGGGGTCTGTCATTGAATGATCGAGACCTTTGTTCTTATGGGAGGGGTAGAAACAAGGAAACGTAACACAGTTGGACCATTGACGAAATATGAAAAACCCACCAGTGCCAATCCGAAAACTGAAGTCTGCTTTGAGTAGAGTCAGCCAATGCCGACAACTCAAATGAAAATCAACCGTCCTTTGCCGATCCTTTTGTTGGCTCTCAATTTGACTTTGAGCAGCGGTAGCTTGTCTTTTTTTGGCTAACAAATTTTCCATTCATATAGGTCACATGTTTCTCTGCTACTTGTGATTTCACAGCAGATTGTCAAGGATGGAAAATAATAATAATAGTTTTGTCAAGGAGTGCGGAGAATGAGGTCACCCAACAATTCTCCTCAATTTTTCTGTGATCAGCAGTTGATCCAAACATTTCCAGACCAACCAGACCAACCAGTTGGTTACATTTTTATGACTAGGAAGACTGCAGAGGTTGGAGAGCTGATAAGTAAATAAAGTTACACAAGACTGTCATAATAATGTGCCAGGGGGTGGATCAAGGGTTCTGGGCTCATGGCCAGCTGTCTAGCTGAGAACAAGCCATCTACCTTCCATGCCAACAAAGTTATATGAGAAACTTGTCCGGACCTCTTCCTCTTTGCCTCTGTCATGATATGAGTGACGATGCTGCTTAGCTTGCATCTCAAAAAGAAAAACATTATCATGTTTTCCTCTATCATCCTGTGCATACAGGGGCTAATTGGTTAGTATGGTGGTCTTTAAACACTAAGGTCCTGGCTGGTTCCCACCGAGAATGCCATTACAATGGAATACGAGTGTTCTTTGTGTGGCCCGGCTTCATTATAAAAACATTCTGGTGGATTTGGCCTCTGACCAAACTGGCCTAGAGCATGTAGGCAATGATAGTAATTGTTCCCATCTCCTTCAAAGGGCAGAGGCTGATGTGAAGTAATAGGCAGACTCTATCTTCTGTATATGTGGAAAAATAATCTTGTCTTGAGCTGTTAAAAAGGAACATTTTGTTCTTGCCCGTGGTGACCTTTTGGAAGGTGAATTAGTGTAACGAGAGCCACAAAAATCAAAAACAATCTTTATTCTAAAAGCAGGGACGTGCGGTCAGGGGAGGCAGAGCCCTACCTAGTACCCTGTTTCCCCCGAAAATAAGACCTACCCCGAAAATAAGACCTAGTACTATTTTTGGGAATTGCTAAAATATAAGACCTACCCCGAAAATAAGACCTAGTTGTGACCATTCCCAGGGCCGCTGGTGGCATAAGGGGGAACTTGAAGAGCAGTGGGAGGGAATCAGCGGTGCCAACGAAGCCAGCGCTAGAGGAAGCGAGGCGGCAGCGGAGGGAGCAGAGCAGCATAAGCCGATGCTTCCTCTATAGCGCCGACTCCTGTCACTGGCGGAGTGATACCAAATGCACCCCGCCTGTGAGGAATCGATAGTGAAAGCGCGCTTCGCTCATTCTGGCCAGCGATTGGTTAGCAAATTGCTCTCTGAAAGGTACGGCACCCCTGATTGGGTACGGCACCCCTGATTGCCCTGATCACCATATTTTTGTACATGAATAAGTGTGGATTGTTGTACATAAAAAAGAAAAAAAGACCTACCCCGAAAATAAGACCTAGTGTGTTTTATTTTGAGCCCCAAAAAAATATAAGACTGTGTCTTATTTTCAGGGAAACACGATATTATGGAGGAAAAAGCTGTCAGCTTCAAGTCTGAAGCTGACAGCTTTTTCAACATTCAGACCGGTTTGTAACAGGTTACATAGTGCTTCCCAGCTTCTTGTGTGACCTAACATATGGAGGCAAGAGCTGCAACAGCCTCTAATTTGTGTTAGAGGCTTGACCCCTGTGGATGGTTTGGACCAATGGCAAAGCGTGGGCAGAGGGAATGCCTCACCCAGCACGGAACGCACTGCATGTCACTGTTCTAAAGTGCTCATTGGATAAGACTTTGCCTTCTAAGAACAGTGACTTGCAGGGCGTTCCGTGCTGGGTGAGGCATTCCCCCAGTTTAGTTATTGGACTGCCCCTATTTTATATGAACCCAGAAAGAGCCCATGGAAGATGAGCTAGTATATATGGAGGACCTCAGCTACAAAGAAAAGACCAACTGACCAGAACTTAGTCACTTTTGAGAACAGAAAACTAAAGCCCTAGAGTTTCAATCGAGAAACTCCATTCATTCCATCAACTTGAATGTTAAAATCATCAACAAAATTCTACAAGTCTCTGACGGCATTATCAAATGTTCTGACAAGATTCTTCATATGAACATAAGAAACTCCTCCAGTGTACGGCCAGCCAAACTCCCACACAAATGAGGCAATGTGATATCCTGACCAGTCTGGCTACACGTCTGCTCAGTAGACCAGCTCTGCCAAGTCAGTTCTGTGTTGCTTCCAGGACATTTATTGCCGGCCGCTTGGATAGATCTCAATTTCAAGTGCTGTGCCGTAAATCCTGTAAACAACCCAGTGTCTTCTGTCGCTGGTCATCTCCTCCTGCATACCCACTAAGTTGCCCATACACGTGAACATTTTCAGCTAATTTCAATCACTTTCCATGCAACAGGAACAGTAAACACAATCATAAGTAATCACCATCCTAATAGTCACGTTTCTGTGTTTGCAGATGACACTAAAATCGGGGAGGTTAATAGACACGGACTTAGACATTATAACATTGCAGGAGGACCTGGATAAAATAGGGGGAGGGGCGACGGCATGGCAGATGAGGTTTGATGTTGATAAATGTAAAGTAATGCATTTTGGGGTTAAAAAGAGGAATACACATTAATGGGAACTCCACTAGGGAAGTCAGAAATGGAAAAAGATTTGGGGGGTCATTGTAGACCGCAGATTGAATAACAGCGCACAATGCCAGGCTGCTGCAAACAAAGCGAGCAGAGTTCTGTCTTGTATTAAGGGAGAACTAGGGGGTTAAGTCTTTTCCCCATAGTTCTCCTTAGGGTAACGGGAGGACACAAACTAGCGTCCTCCCGTCACCCTAGGCTCAGTATATAGGGAGCTGCTGCTCGCGTTATACTGAGACGCCGCAGCTGAAATAAAAAAGACGTTTATTCTGAATGGAGAAAGCTGGTCAGATGGTCAGTGAAACGTCTTCAAGAAAAATACAGCGAGTCCAGTTGCCTTGACTTTTTTTTTACAGATATACCGTGACCTGGATGAATGAGAACCTTCGCAGACATAATGAACAAAAATTGCTGTAAAATTTCCCAGTTTCAATTTTATTTCAAAGTGGTCACATTTTTTTGCTACTTTCCAGGCAACATGGATCCCGTTTTCCTACGGGGCGACTGAAACCTCCATTTTATGTTTTTGACTGCTGCTCGATTTTGTCGATAAATGAAATGTGCTAATGCCATGATTTTGTTACACGTTTTACGTCTTCATTCACACAAGTAACATAAAAATATCTAAAATTTTTGGCCGCATGAATAATTTTCAGCTGAAAACAACTCACTTTTTGAAAATAAGGATCCTTAGCCCAACCCGTTAGCTTTTGAACTGAACCCAATGCACCTGCTGTAGATGAAGCCTAACACAACTTACGTGGGACCGTCGGCGATGAGCATCAGGACGTGGCTGAGGTCCAGCGTGTAGGTCTCCATGTCGGGGTAGGGCAGACTGCGGGGGTCATTTGCGTCGGCCGCCTCTTTGTTGTCGTAGATGTAGGGGATCCCGCCCTTCATTCTCACCACGTAGTTAAGATTTGGGGGGATGTTCTCCAGGTTGTAGACATCTCCGTGTTCGGGGGGAGGGTTGAACTCTGCAATAATATGCAAAATGTTAAAAATTGCAACAAATCAAGACTCACCTCCAGGAAGATGGTGATGTGCGAGGTTCCACTTTGGGCCACCATCCTTGGGCGATTCTTGTCACAGCTGGATGGAGGTTGACTTAAAGGGGATGTCTAGGGTATTCTATGTATTTTATGCCGTATTCTATGTTGTATTCTATGTCGTATTCTATGTATTTTATGTCGTATTCTATGTATTTTATGTTGTATTCTATGTATTTTATGCTGTATTCTATGTATTTTATGTTGTATTCTATGTATTTTATGTTGTATTCTATGTATTTTATGTTGTATTCTATGTATTTTATGCTGTATTCTATGTATTTTATGTTGTATTCTATGTATTTTATGTTGTGTTCTATGTATTGTATGTTGTGTTCTATGTATTGTATGTTGTATTGTATGTATTTTATGTTATATTCTATGTATTTTATGTTGTATTCTATGTATTTTATGTTGGCTGAAAAATAAATTTAACTTTAACGTGAAAAGTGAGCAACGTGTTGAGCTGTGAGCAGCACAAATTACAACGTCTTCAGGACTCCATCTTGTGGACATCGTGGGTCAGTTGGAGTCTCTCCTATCTCAAGAATGAAGCTACCTGATGCCTATGGTTCAGTTGCCAGCATCATACACAAGAAATAGAACAAAGCCTCTACCTGGGTACACCTCGTCTTCCAGTTTCCAGCTTTCGTCGTTCGCCGTGCACAGGTACCGGGCGGTGGTTCTGGGGAAGCGATGGTACGCCAGCCGGCAGTATTTTTCTCGTATCAGCAGGGCTTTGGCGAGCTTGACCACGGCTTGCTCATAATCGTCAACGGTCACCTGAGAAACAATTCAATTTAAAAGAAACATTTTGACCTTCCTTGGAATGTTTTACATCAGAAGCATCAAATGTGTTGTTATTTTTTTTTTTCCTTTGCAAAATGTTCTGTCATTTTTGGGCACGAGAACCTTGGTGTAGGAACATTGTCACAGGCAGGGCCAGATATCCCACAAGGCCAACTGAGGCCCGGCCTTGGAGCGGCAGGGAGCTGAGGGGCGGCAGGGATTCCTATCGCCCGACGCCCGGGACACGCAGTTCCGGGCGGGTACTTGTTCTCTACATATAGCCCTGCTTTGGGCAAGCCAAGCTAAATGTAAAGCGGGGAAGCCTCTGGTTCCTTTACAAGTGATTTCGGCGATGTCGCCGAGATCACTTGTATGCAGCTTGCTCGTACGTCTACCTCTCTCTCTGCCAGCCGGAGATCCTCTCTTCAGGATGGAGAGCGGAGAGCAGAGAACGTCCATTCTCCACTCTGCTCCATGTAAACACTGAGAAGGGAGAGCTGCACTCGCAGCCTTCCCGTCTCAGCTGTCACAGGGTTTCCAGCACAGTGCTATGCTAGAACTCCTGTATCCAAGGTGACAGGTTCAATAAAGAGAACCTGCCACCTCCAAATGCTATCACACAGGGGCTTGTTAACTTTGCTACCACACAGGTGCTAAGTGGAAAAAAAAAGAAATTGATAAAAAGATATTTAATAAATAAAAATTAAGAAAAAAAGTAACAAAATA